TTTATATGGGACTGGTGCGGTGTATTTTCTCAGGGCAAGACATTTGGGGGCTGAATGGAGACGTGCATTTGCCAACGCAGGCTATGCTCTTTAAAAGTTATCTCTCAAGTCCTTGCAGGTTTGGCCCATGTGAGGGGAGGTGCGTCGGGTAATGACATCTGCCAACAACATGCCGGTGCTTGCATAGTTGTGGAGGTTGAGCTCAGGAATGGTATAGTCTCCTTGTACAATAAGGTCCGATCATAACTGCCCTTCTAGTGTTCTGTCGACACGACACCCTTTTTGAAGCCCAAACCGTTGGCCAGCGCGGCTAAGTTCCAAGCCGTAAACAGACCTAAACAGACCTACATCCTAGACCCTAATCTCGAGTCGCAAAGCCTTGGCGTCAGATAGACACCCTCCGCATCATCCGTAGCCCCCAGCTTCTCTGCAGGATCAGCTTGATCCGTATCTAGTCGGCTCCCTACCTCTCGTACTCGATTTCGATCACCGAGGAGATTAAACCTGAACCCTAATCTTTCAAGCCTTAAACTCCCGACCAAGATGAAGATCTTCAGATATCCCTCTCCAGAGTTATCCCTGTTATTGAGAAGCCCCACATTTCACACGAGGCAACCCATCCTCCGCCCCCAGCTCAGCCCGTCGATGCCCCTTGACTTGATCCAGCCTTCCGGTGTTATGCTGCAAGTTGTTCTGAAGGGTCAGAGCTTTGCAACTGAGAGTGTTCACTTTTTGACCATCAAGTCGATACTACTGCCCCTTCTCGATGTCATTATGCTGACGTCCAAACATGGGCCCATAAATTGTCACATGTCCCTAACTTGCCGCAGGGTTTTCGGGAAGCGAAGCCTATGTGCGAGTGGGTAACCTACGCCTACCAACAAATCTGGAAACTATACACGTAGACGGCCGCTCTGGGATTTTCTCCAGCATCCTTCTCACTGTGGATAAGAAATCGGCATGTACGTGTCCAAGCCTTGCCACCACCTATCCACAAACGGTGTCCCGGGTAAGGCAAAATCAGTTTCGACCTTCGCAAAGAAAGGAATGAAATTCTGTGCTGCAGATGTCCTGCGCTCCTTGCTGGGCCGCAAGAACCACAGCTCTTGATGGCTGCGCGTCCCACTGCTCCTAAACGCGCCGCTTCTTGCGAGGAGGAGTGCGCAGGTCCAGTATTGCGCCCTCGAACTTCTCATGCCAAGGCCATGAGAAGCCAAAACTGCAGAGCAGAAGAAGATCTCGTGAAGACGTGATCCATTGCTGAACACCGCTTGGAACAACCTCCGAAACCCGTGCCAACCTTTTAAAGCAACAGAAAACCATGCGGTTAGTTTTGTGCGTGCATGGCCCTATTTAGTGTGGGGTCCCAACTATGGCATTACAGAGTATACAGGGTATGATGTAAGGACCCCGAGGGCCAAGGGGTTAAGGCCCAATGGTTCCCACCTTTGAAACATTGTTGTTGCAGGCAGCGTAACGTCATCGGCGCCGCCTGCATCATGCCCCTTCTCCTCCTCAGCCTTATCCTACTCATCCTCCTCATCGTTCTGCTTTTTCTTTCATTCACATATCTGACCACACCAACAGCTGGATGGCGCGGGTTATCTTCGGGGATGCAGCACGGTGTCATCCTGAATAATGCCATAGTATGCAAGCATGACCACTTGCGTGTCCGCATTGTATGAAATAGTGAGTGCATGAGCTTGCACGCTGTCCAGAATTGACGGCGGTTCTGCCATCGGCCATCAACAACCATTAACGCCACGATGTTTCAGGCATACGGACAGACTGATGGCCCCTTTCCCCGCTCCCGCGGCATGGCCAACAACTGAAGACATCGTGAGAATCAACAGAAGTTTGCGTCATAACTCACAGCGCGAACCGAACGCAGACCAACTGCTTGTGAAGGGTTGCTATGCGGTATTACTGTATGAGGTTCTCGTAGCGAGACATTCTATTGCCTGACTACAAGCCATGCAGGTCCAAGTTGACCAAAGACCTCAGCTCCGCGCTCTGAACTCCAAGTCGCGGTAGTCAGACCTTCCATATTCGACAGAACGTAAGGTTGGGCCACGTCGCAATGTAGCTGGCAATTGGGCGAATGGGGCAACTGCAGCACCATGGTTGCACTTCTCTGTTTAGGGCAGTTATAAGGAGAAGGTGTTTAGGGTTTGGGTCTTCAGATTTATGGGACGTCGTCACAGCTGTTGTGCCGCTGTCTGCACTAGATATGTAACAGTGGGCTCAAACGCGAGTACACAATTTCGGGATGGAGGTTACCCTGGGAAATAGTACTGGCTTCAGGGGAAATTAGTTTTGCCAGGCAGCTTCTTCTATTTCAGCGATGTGACAATGTGAGCCCACTCATTTTGTGGTTGAGGCTTGAACTACGATGTCTGTACAAATAGTGGGATTTATTGAAAGGGTAGCTGCTTCTATAAGAGCATACAGGGTTATATGAGGCGTATTTGAAGAATTTCACAACAACACGTAATTTACAAGAAGTGCAACATCCAGGAATGTAACATCTAGATTATGATGAGTTTCAAGATGATGTTCATTCTTTTGCGGGTCTTCCTAAACCTTCGCCCCCCCCCTAAACCCTAAACTTGAACCCTAAGCATGGAAGGAATTGACTAGCTTACCGTGCCTAAGCCGCAACACTGTCGCTGCTGACGACGGCTTCTGACTTCGCAAGTTTCGGGTTTTGAGTTTCAAGTTTGTCATTGAAGTAGCTTCACACTCAGCACCAGGTCATCTCTTTCTGCGATCATCCAGGCAGAGAGCGCTTGCGTTTGTTGTCGCGTTCGTTGCGTGTACCAGGACTTCCCGTGATCCAGATCCTTGCAACATTCAAGAGCTGGATGCAGCAGACTCATACTGATATATCATCCAGGTCGACTCGCAGTTTTCCAAACCAGAACATCATGTCCCAGCCATGCAACAGCAGCATCATGTCCTCCTTCCATCCCAGAGCCGCATCTCCCAGAAGCAGCTAACTTCACACCGCCGAGAGAAAGTCCGTTGACACTGCCGATGCAGACAATGTGTACGAGACAGCCTTCAAAGGCACCTCAGATCGCACGCCACAAGCCAAAGCCCTGAGGCTTCTGTACTGCCGTGCTGTCATTTACGGAAGCGTGCCTCCACGGATTCATCTCCTTTTAAATCGGAAGAGAAAGATGTTGAGCCTTGAACATTCCTCTCTGGAGTGACCTATATTTGAACCAGTGACTGAGCGGGAAACTGCTTGCTGAGAGCCCCAAGATTAGAAGTGTGTCAGGTTTGGGATGTAGGGCTGGTCCGTCCTTGTCGCGTGAGGCGGACGCGACAACTGAAGCCAAACTCTTGATGTCGCTAGGGAAACCGCCGGTTGTGCTTACTAAGCTACTGTCCACGGCCCCATGACCCATGTATCTCCCCAGAGCCTGAGCCCTCAACCAGATTCCCTCTCCAACAGATTTGTTTCACGCGCTTATCCGTGCCATGACCACGGTCCCAGAAGTCATGAATCCTAAAGCAACATGGCAACATCATGGAAGCCGTTTAGACATCTGTTTTTGCTTTGCGCTTCAAACTTACCAAGCTTCAAGAGCAATGAAACATATGGTTTCTGTCGAACAACACGAGCAGGGTACATCTCTCAGGTGACTGGGCAGGGTGTGCAGGGTGCAGAGTCAGGGTGGGCAAGGGGGTGGGGGTGGTGGGGTGACGGGGTGGGTGGGGTGAGGGGGTGGGGTGGGGTGGTGGGGGTGAGGGGTGGGGTGTGGGCGAGGGGGGGAGTGTGTAGCACCCCACCACCGCACCCCCCACCCCGCACCCGATCAGCACAACATTTAGCATTACATTTGTGTGAAATGTAATGCTTGCAGCTTCCAGCTAGACGCATTCAGATCTCCATTTCTGTGCATACACCGGGCATGTCGATCTGTATCAAAGAGACTGCTTGGTTCCCTAGCAGATCCCTGAGAAAGAGCTTCAGCGCTCTCTTCAACCTGGCCTTGGGCCAGATCAACCCCAGGGAGGGTGGGCGGGAGCAGAAAACGAGCTGAGAGAAAACATATACAGAAGTTAGAAGCTTCCAGCAATATCGCACTAAGTGCACACATGCTTGCAGCTTCCAGCTAGACGCATTCAGATCTCCATTTCTGTGCATACACCGGGCATGTCGATCTGTATCAAAGAGACTGCTTGGTTCCCTAGCAGATCCCTGAGAAAGAGCTTCAGCGCTCTTTTCAACCTGGCCTTGGGCCAGATCAACCCCAAACCCATGTTCAAAATGGCTCTGGGTGGGAGGGAAGGGTTTCAAAAGTCAGCGAAGTTGCTTCACCAAATCTTCAGCAAAGAGACGTGGATAAACTTGCGCTAGCTCAGTCAAGAATTTGTTGCCCTTGACACCTGTGAGTTGCACATGAGGCTTTGAAGTTCTTGAGCACGCGAACTTGCCCTGGCACTTCAAGAGCTGTGCAGCCTGACAGTTCCAGAACAGGATCCCAGTAGGTTTCTTCCACTGAGTGCCGTACATGCACAGGTGAGTCTTCACGAACTGCACTCGGTGATCCTGAAGCAAACGTTGAAGCTGTGGCGTTTTCCAGATGCGAGAGCTCAAGGGGTTTTCTAGGTAACCGCACTTGCCCAGCCTCAGACACTTGCGAATGACCTTGCATGCTCCAAACAACATGTTGTTGGCACGCCTGACTTTTTCTTGGTCTCTTTCATTGAGCTCCTGAAGCCCAAAAATGGATTCTGGATCGTCACCTCTCAAGGCTTGTGGCATTCTGGAACCTTTAGGCGCTCTGCGGGCTCTGCTCCAAGTATTGCAAGGAATGTCAATCCCTACCGCATCAAAGCAACTGACGGATTTTGCAATAGAGGTCCATGCAGACATCCTTGAGAGGTCATTTACTGAGGAGTATGCCACATCAAGAACAGCCGCACATCCCCCTCTTCTTGAAAAGGCTTTCGCCACCTCGGAGGCGCCCCCGAAAAGGCTCAGGAGCGCTTGTCCTTGAAGATCTCCTTGGCTCTCTTTAGGAGGTCTGGAGGCAGCTGGCAGGTGCCACTCTGGAAGTAGTCCTGGAAGCGAACACACCTTCTCCCCGAACGGCGACAACCTCGTATGGCGACTGACCATTTGGGCCAGCCTCCCAGGCTTGTCGTAGATCCGAGCTGACGAGTCGACAGCCCATCTGCCCCGCCTTTGAATCCCTTGTACACTTTTCAGGTGTAGAAGGTGATCTCGACTTGCCCCTCCATGTCGGTTTTGGTAGGGGCTGCAGGCACAGCCTACCTGAAGAACTTCCACCGCCTTGCGCCACTCCAGAAGGAACTGTCTTGCGTTGAAACTCCACAGGTCTGAGTCCTCTCCTTGCTGCTGGACACAAGCCCTCACGTGGGTCTTCAGAACTTGCTCCATCCACGGCACTCTCGTGTCGTCCAGGATGACCACCTCGTCGAAGATCCCAGTCTTGCTCGATTCTCCCCTCTCGAAGGGTGCAAGAACCAGAATCGAGTGCGGGTATCCTTCCGGAGCCCCACTCTGGGGTACGAAGTCTGCGGCCTTCAGCTTGAGAGCCTCGCCTGGACGGAGGTACGTGGAGAAGGTTAGCTCGTTGTAAAGGGCCATATCCTTCCGACCTCTCCAGATCAGTAGCCCAGAAACCGCGCTCTGGTTTGGGTAGGCGCCATGCGGCGCCATCCTTTCAACGCCCTTTTGAAGCGCGGGAGCTTTAGACTCCCCTCGCGTGCGGCCTCGGGCCTCCAAAACTCCAGCGCTGCCTGCAGCTTCTGCCCATAACTGGAACCTTCTCCATTCAAGTACAGGTGGTCCGCATAATCGGACAGCGCTGCGTCGAGGTCCTTCTCGCCAACAGTGGGGAGACGATAAAAGGCCACGAACTCGTAGAACTTGTCGAGCTTCGTCTCGTAGTCCTTTCTCGTGCCCTCCTTCACGCTCCCCAACTCCAGCACAGTCTTCAACCCTTGCGTTGCCCGCAGGTGTCGCCCAAACTTTTTCTCCCTCTCTCGAGCCTTCTTCCTCTTCTTCTCGGCACTCAGAACTAGTGCCCTCAAAGCTGGGGCGTGAGGCCTTCCACAAGGTGCCTCCCGTAGCCTCGAACGACTCCGACTGCGGGGGTTGGACTCCTCCACATCGAGGGGATGAGGACTGCGGCACCGTTTGTTGGCCATTTTGACCTCCTCTTTCATAAAGACTGTGACCTTTCTTTTCGGGACCTTCTCTCGCAGTCTCCCTGTGCTGCTTGAAAGGTCGCGGCTCCCACTGCCGGCTATCCTCATCTGCCACGTTGAGCTCCGAAGCCACCCATCGCACGTGGACTCTGATGCCACAAGCGAGGCTGTAAGCCAGTGTTCTGCGCAGGATACGTAGTAAAGCGAAACTACTGCATCTCCCCTTTTGCGTAGCCAGGACCACCCCCATATTGTCATTCAGGATGAGCACATGGCTTCCGTGTACTCTGGCGTCTCGACTCACATGCTTTACCGTGGCTAGAATACTACGGCCCTCAAGCAAATGCACTGGCTCCTTGAAAGTGAATGGCGCGCTCCAAACTCGCCCCCAATCCTCTGGATGAAGGAGCGATCTCAGAACCTCAGGAAAGTTGGGGTCAACCTCCCAATCTCCTATCACCTCTCCATCCACCATGGGCCTGACTGTGCACACGTCACTGAAGACATCAGCTCCAGCTAGAGCTGCTTGTCGAGGTGCAAGCTTAGGCCCCGCACCTCGAAAGAACCGCCATCTTTCATCTTCGGCCCCCACCTGCCTGGCAATGTCAGTATCCAGCGATCGCTTCATGACAGCATATCCGGACAGGCATGCGTCGGTGCAGAAAATCTCGTCGTGCCAAGGCGCCCGCAAATTGCTGTAGCCGAGCACCATGAGACACCTGAACATTTCCAGTTCCCGACGTACCGAGGGCCAAAGCTTAGTTCGCTTGGTGTAGTTCTGCTCTATGAAAACATAGACATGACGAAGGACACTAAGCAGGCCTCGATGTAAAAGTGCACGCATGGTAAGGCGCCCCACCACGACCTGCAATTCTTCACCGGAGACGCGCATTGAGGAACTGCGTGCCAACAGGGCCTGATCCAAACGATGATCCCGCAGAGGAGTAGTCTGCACGCAACCTCCAAGGCCATCAATCCTAACTCCCAAACTCTCACACAGATTTGAGCTCTCCACCAGATCGTGAGTGGCCAAACCATGTGCATGAAGAGCGTCCATCATCCGAACCTGATCATTGCGCACTGCTTCCCGGCTGACCCCCAAATGATTGCCGTTGTCGGCGTAAACCAGGCAGGCCTGCTGACATTGTCCAACTTTTGCCCCCATCACGGGGGCAGGCCGCTTGTCCTGCGCAATCATGGCATTGGGAAGGGTACGCCGCGTGAGTTCAACATGAGCAACATGAGCCAAATGAAAAGCCCACGCAAATCCCATGGGCAATACGATCATGTGCGGGTAAATCGGCGCCTCCGAAACATCCAGCAACTCCTGCAGGTCCATCGGGAGGTAGCCGAGGCGCTCCTTCAATAAAGCGGGATCAACCTTGGGCAACGCAAAAAACTCTCCCAAGTCCTTGGGGATCCTCAAGCGGTAGAAATAGTCCTTCACATCCTCCTGAGCCACGAACAAGTCAGAGCCCGCATCACACCCTAGACGAGCCCAACTGTCCATGGAGCCTAGCACTGTGGTAGGAGGACTGCGAAAAAGTTTGTTGGCGCGTCTAGCATCTATAATCAATCTCTGCTTCTCGCCCTTCTTCGTGACTACAAATGCACCCACCTGAACCCGCGGCGAAGTAGTAAAACTGACCAACTTGCTCTCAATCAGATCGGCAACAAAGTCATGGTAAACCTTTCCCCCACCTTCTAAGCGAGGATCCATGTACCTGTCACCCACCAATCCGCGCTCCAACACACCGGCAATCTCCTCGTCAGAGAGCAGCATCTGATTCCGAAAGTCAAGCAAACGATCTCGCTCCACCTCAGGTAACAGGGCTTCCAGTGGGATGGGTTCCAGTTGGTCACGAGGAAGGGAAACACGCTCCCTCACATAGGAAGCCATCTGTCCTGGCAGGACTCCATCACTCGAGTATGGGGACCCCGCCTTCTTAAGCAGCAGCTGCCGAAGCGCTGCCTGCGGACTCAATTTCTGAGGGGGTGGGGGCCTCTGTACATGCAACTCCTTCACCCTCTGCAACACTGACGACTGTGCCTGATTCAAGGAAGAATTCGGCCAAAGCCTCTCATCATCAAAACCAGCTAGGTGATTCAAAGCCCACAGGGTGCCACGCTGCCGATCTTCAAAGAGTCGACGCCTTTGAACACGTTGACGTGCCCTTCGCGAACCCAAGGACCCCAAACTCCCAGCAAAACCATTAACGTCACATGGCACAGGAAGAGGAAAAAGGTCACCATGCCTAGCAACTGGCTCACGGAAAATCGACGGAGTGCCTAAATGCTCATCAGCCATGCCCCCTGCACCCTCGGAAGCATGACTGGCCCCCGATCTAGGGGGCGTTCTGCCCGTCCTTCTTCTTGCCGGCCCCTTTTCCAGGCCGCTCCGAATTTCCACTGCCTTCCTCTTCCCCACGGCGAGTGGCATGCTTGCGCTCCTCCGCCGCCAACCGCGTCTGCTTGAGCACCTCGGCCTTGGCTGCCTGTCTCTTGGCAGCGTGTTGTGTCAATGCTGGGTCGACCACGCTGCCATCCATTGCCTCGCGCACACCAAGCACCTCCTCGGCGGCCTCGTAGCTAGGTGCATCTGGCCTACCCTGATGCGCTATCTCAATGAGTGCGCGGCGTCGGTTTAATGCTTCCGCCGAGGCGAGGGCAGGTAAGTTGAGTTGGTCATAAGACGTCATGAAGTCCAAAGCGCGGCAAAGAGAAGAATGTTCGTGAATGGATCTATCCGAAGTGCGAACGCCACTCTTGCGCATCCAGGACTCATGGTGCTGAGTGAAGCTCATGCCCAGTCTCCGAAGCTGCCGAAGATCTCGGAACATCGTCCTCGGACCTTGAAGAGGAAAATCCTCATACTCAATCTCGTCATAGTCCGGCATAGCTTCAGCCAGGGTACGCCACCTTTCCTCGGCGGTATCAAAGAGTACGGGCAGGACGCGAACATCACGATCATCTCGATCCGGATCCTGTCTGTGCTCCTTAGCTTTTAGACTAACCCTCATAGCCTCCGTCACCGAGCAGCCTTGGGCGAGGATCACAGCGCCATCTTTGAGGAACAGCTTGAAGGAAGAGTCGCCAGCCTTGACCAACTCCGTGCCGGTAGACGGAGACACCTGCTCCCCAAGCTTCTCGCCCTTAGAGTTGTAGACCACCACCCAAGCATCATGCTCTTCAATCACCTCTGGCTTGGCCATCACATCAGTGGAGGCGCCTGCCCCAGTCACTCCAGCATTGCACCGTCCCGGCGCCGTCTTGCCTTGAATGCGGTGTCGAGGGCCAAAGGCAACCAAATCCCGGACTGTCCCATCCGGTAAGTGAACCTGCCTTCCCTCAACATCCGGCGGGGCCCCATACACAACTTCATGCTCACGCCATGCCTCCCTGATGTACTTGCTGACAAACTCGTTGTCCAAGGTCTCCCTGAAGCGGTAAACCGGCCGGTTGTACCGAGTCCGTGCTCCATGCGCCACTATCCTGACCCGCTCCGGGCCGTCAGACGCGTGGCCACCAAGATCTTCCTCGTAAATGTCCAGATCAGGCGTCACTATCCAGAACATGTTTTCACCATCCCCTTCTAGGAGCACCAGTCTTTCATGCCACACCGTATCGTCTGAGTACCAGACACGCACCAAGTCACCTAGATGCATCTTCGATCACCCCTCTGCCTCTACGTCGTACGGCACTACCAGCAGTGGACCTTGTAAGCACAGGAACCGGTGGTACTGAACGGACGCAGTGGCGAGTGAGCAGGACGACCAATACGTGGCTGATCAGAACTGCTATCGAAAGGAATGTCCAGAAAGGAACGCCCACACTGGCCACACCAGAAGCTTCTACAGTAGCCCCGGACTCGCAATAGCAAGTGCAATCACACTGATTCGGCAACGGCCCCAGTCGCGATGGCTCGAGCGCCCTACCTAGAAGGACAGTGAGAGCTACCAGAGCCTTTTCCCACATGAGCAGAAAACGAGCTGAGAGAAAACATATACAGAAGTTAGAAGCTTCCAGCAATATCGCACTAAGTGCACACATGCTAAATGTTGTGTTAATCGGGTGCGGGGTGGTGGGTGCGGGGTGGGGGTGTGGGGTGCGGTGCGGGGGGTGCGGGGGTGCGGGGTGGCGGGTGTGGGGTGGGGGTGGGCGCACCTGCTTGCACCCCTGCACCCGATACACATCCCCCAGTACCCGCACCCCACATTTGAAGCAAAAACCTATCCGACAGAGCATTGCTCTTGAAGGTTGATAACTTCAAACTTCAAACCTTCCAGGGGGCGTCAACAATCGAACTAACATAACGACCCAACCTAGGCAATCCTTCCTGTAGACTTGCTCCTTCTAAACCCCCAGCGTTACTCCGTTACTCAAACATCGGCCCTGAACCCTGAGCAGTGAGCCCCAAACTTGAAACAGTAGAGGCAATCGCTGCGGAAGTGGCGTTTCTGAGCGCAATGTGCAGTGCCCGAGCGGCGATGATCTTGACATTTGGCCGCAGTGAGGCCTAAAGGCTCACGTAGGCTCGCTGTCTACCCCAGAGTCAGCTTGTCTGCCATGTGGCAGCTTCAAAAATCACAAATACAAAATGGAAGCAAAGCAGCGCTTTTGGCTACGCCATGAAGAAAGGACCCCCAGTTTTTGAGCCCATTGTATCGTCACAGGAACGCCAGGTTGTGCAGAGTCTAAGACGTTCAAAGCCCCGTTCCTCGCGAAACTTTTCAGGGTGTAGGATCTAGGATCAGGGTCGTTTTTCTTGATCCCGATCAAACCATCCTTACAGATAAGATTCAGCAATGCTCGCCCCTATCTGATGCCAAGACATTTGCCGTCAGCGCGGCGGTCTCCACATGTCTAGGCTTTAGGTGGCACAAGAAGCCCGAACATGTTGATGCTTGGAAGCCTGAACCTTCTAAACCGCAGCCCAAATCCTGTAGACCTTAAGTCCTACCCCGAAACAACCCTACATAGTCCTTTCAAACCTCTGAAAACATGCCGTATTTCGCAGGGTCGATTGCTGGGGTGGGCGAAGCCCCAAACCCTACATTGTGTTAGGATTGCAACGCCATGCCACGGCCGCTTGATCGAAGGAGCTGCCGCGACATTTCTGGCATCACGGCTGGGATTTAGGGGTGGTGGGTCTGATGCTCACTTGTGCCAGCCAAGTCACTGTTTGGCAGTTTGGTCATAGTACTTGCAGTTTTGGCTTGGCGGTGGATGATCGAATTATTACGTATGTGCACGCTGATGGAGTCGCAGTAGCACAAGCAGTAGAAAAAGTCATTCTTATCACGGCAGCTTTTTGCTGGTTCGGGGCTTGAGGGGCTGAGATTTGATTTGAGATGCAGGGACAAGGACCCAGCTTAGGTCCAAAGCTATGCAACCCCCTTAACAGCTGAACTTGGAGTCCCGACAACCCTCACCCAAGAATCATGCGCTCCCCACGGTCCACATTAGCAATCCTTCATCCTTGTTGGCACGCTCTCGCAGGGGACTTTCTCCTGTAGGGTCGCGCTATGACCTGGAGTGTCATTGTATAGTTAGAGGGTTTTTGCTTCGGCGCATGCGGATGAATTTTACGCACGCAATCAAGTCGCATGTTCAATGATTTCATTGCCGAATTACTGTATCAGGATCAGTTAAGGTACGTTCATTGGAGTTCTTTGTGTCAGAAAGCCCAAGATTCAAGCGTTGGTATAGTAGTCCTAAAGGAGGCGCGCGAGGGGCCTTGAATACAAGGTAGAGGGTATAAATTCAAGGATTTTGCTAGTGATAGCGTGGGCCTGCGACAGTCCCGAAGCCATTCCAACATCAAGGAGAATTCCAGGAGCCCCTCTGGAAGACAACCGGCCCACGGAAACGAGCGAAGCAGCACAGTCAAGAAGCACAGTTTTGAGTACACAGAGTTCCAAATCACTTCAGATTTTCCGAGCACGGACTCCTGCTGCAACCTCGAAACCTCCAGAGATTCAAGCACCCAGGGGACTCGTGGTTTCGTTTGGTTAACAAAACTTGGGCTCTAACCACGTAATATCCTACACACAATCCCTTGCGACATGGATATCACTCATCTTTCCTAACATTTCGCTTAGAACCGCCGGATGCGCCCTGTCCAAGGGCCCAAAATTGTGCTTATAGGGCTTTGCGGGTAGTAGTAGGGTCACACATACATATGTGCACTTGTTTACATTATCTCTTCGATTACGTGGGTAATACGTAATCATAGGTACACATGCACGTATTGTCTTCTTTAACGTATACACACATTGATTGTGTATTTGGATATACATGCGCAGAGGATTGGCTCCAAATCCAAGACTCAAATTATGTGTCCGTAGTTCCGAACATAGGGCTACGTGCCGCGCAATCTACTTTGAGAGCCATGTAGTTGTGAGAACAGTACTAGAAACCATGATGGGACTGTTTAAAGAAGTCGTGGTAGCACTAGCAACAGTATCATTAGTCGTCGTCGCCGCCGTCGTCGTCGACAGTGCTAGCAACAGTATAAGAGTATCAATATAGCTGAAATAGTTACAGCAATAGGAATTGTGACAGTGGTAGCTCTGGCTGAGGGTCAAGATGTAGGGGCCGAGTGGGGAGCCGTGCAGGAGCCGGAACGCACTTGCCAGCCCTGATCAGCCCATATATTATAAACCTTACATACGGGATCCATACTGACAAGCTAGGTTCTGAAACGCTTTTGAGCGGGTCGAGCCATAGCCCAAGGCATGCTGATGACATTTTTCAAAAGATTTAGGGCTGAGACTCAGGGATGTGTCATGCAGGTTTTTGTTTAAGGTTTTGGGTCTGGGCTTTCCGGTGGGTTCAGAGAGAACCAAGGTTGCACTTGGTCGACATCCCCGTGGTCGGCCGGGAGCCCTGTGAGGGCAGAGAGTGCGCGCAGAATTAGATGCTAGCGATTGTCAATGTTTTTTGGGTATGGCAATTGCAGTGCCCCTGGCTGGGCTTCACTTCAATGCTTTCCGTCATTTAGGAACAAGGAAGCAACTTACATGCTGAGACATTGCCATAAGTGGCTGAGGGCTTTAAACTTAGCAGCCATTTCCATTTTGCTTCTGTTGAGGGATGGTCTCACATGGAAGGCACCAATGGAGCCTGAGAGAGCCTTTGGGGTGATTGATGATTTTTGTGGACCCTCATTATGTGGAGCTTTGTCTGAGAGATGTGAGAAAACGATAGGTATCCTCCACAAACACAATGGATGGCCTTGCTTAAGAAAGCTTCACTTCAAGGTTCAGGAGATGCGGTGCTTCTCAGCCTGCGACCAACTGAAGACAATCGGGCTAAGTTCCTCATACTTGGGAGTTGTCTTGCATGGCCTTTCAAGAGGGGTTTGGGTAACACCTGCATCTTCGGGCCCCAATCCTTTGTCCGCTTGGTCTGCTCACTTTCCATGCTCTTCATCCTTTCCCAAACAAGCATGGAGACCCAGCAGGTTCACGCATTCTTCCCCACATCTTCAGTGTGGAGCTGGGTCTTTTTGCACCCGCCACTGCCGCCGCTGCAGCCACCGCCACGCCTCCACTCCGTCGCATTACTTCCATCTGCTTGCATGTGCTCTGGGGCCCACGCAGGACGATTCAGAGATTGTTCTCCTCTTCCTGAGGGACTCTTGTCGGGGCCGTTGCACCCCCAAAGCTCCTGCCCTTCGAAACGTTCTCTCTAGCCCACATCCTACAGTAGTTCTTGGGCCGAAAATAGGGGTTTGGTTGAAATGTGGCCATGTGGTCACTGCGCTTCAGGATATTGACCGTTTTACAATTCCTGAGAGGCTGACTACGACTACGACTTTCCTCGGGTTGGACGCGACTTTGGGAGAGCCACCCAAACCCTCGTAGAAAGTCCATCACAGAGTAGGAAATCACTCCAGTTGCAATCAAGTTTTCTCCGAGTTGTAGCCTACACGCAGCATGGCCCCTGGTGCTTGCCACTTCAGTAGGTTCATGAAATTCCTAGTGTTTCTTAGCAATTGCGGACAAGATTTGTGTACGTACCTGTATGTTCCTGCAGCTTCGCCATGTTGAGCTTGCGCAGCTCCAGCACCAAATGCCAACAATTTTGAAACCCTTTGGTTCCGTATCTGCAAGGAGACCCTATGATTTTCAGCACGTCCCTGCTTCAGCACGCAGAAGCCCAGTTTGAGGCACACGCGAGCATTCAGTGACCCTGTGATTTTTGGAGATGCTCTTTGAGGTTCTGTTCGGCGGCAGTAACTGCCTCTCCATACCAGCTGACCAGCTGGCGAGCTCGGCGGGTCGACAGCTTTCATGCAGAGACGACTGCAAACCACGAGGTGCACTGCATGAACGCTCACTTGGATCGCAATCTCGCGGAAGATCCACCTGCGCAAGCAACCTCGATGCAGCCTGCTTTGTGGTCAGCCGCACAGCCCGCTCACGTTGTTGACGGGCAGAACCCTGAATAGAACCCCGCAGCAGCCCTAAAAGCTTTCAGGATGGGTTGGACCCTAACACGCAGACATGAAGTGCTGCAAACCTATTAAGCTCCCCCAAGACTCGCCACCAACAACCCCAGGGCTTGAACGCTTGAATCCTGTGGTTGTTCAGGGCCGTCCGCAAGAGTGATGCAAATCAAACGTGTATGAGCGTCAATCGTAGTTGTGGTGGCATGACGG